ATCAGCGACCCGCGCGCTTGCAGGGATAACCCGTGCCCTCGAACCCGCCGAATCCAGAGGTGGCTGGGTGCTTGGTGAGGGCACTGAAAAGGCCGCTCCCTTAAGTGACGGAGCATCAGAGGCTCCTGTGGTTCAGAGACAGGCCCAGGGTTGGAGGGCAGGGTGCTGGCAGCCCACAGGTGCGGGGAACCAGACCAACACTGGCCAGTCCCGGACTAAAGTCCATTTTGTGGGGTGTAGATTCATACATAAGGAATGATGCCAAGGTATATGATTCTGAAGATAGACACTCCTGGGATATAATGTACTTTTTTTTGAGAGGGAGTGAGCCTGGGACGTGAGGGGAAGGGGGAAGAGGCAGAGGGAGGGGGAGAATCTTAAGCAAGCTCCATGCCCATCGTGGAGCCCACTGGGGGCTCAGTCTCACCCCTGAGATCATGACCTGAGTCAAAATCAAGAGTCTGCCCCTTACCCACAGGAGGCACCCAGGTACACTTAATGTTCTTCTTGTTATTTCTTCCAAATGATAGTATGACTTTGCAGTCATTGCTAAGATGCCTCTCAAATGGTGAGAACATCAGAGAACACTGTCTAATGACATTGCAGATAGATTTGTGCTCATGTATGTTTTTGCATCCTAATGTCTAGTTTTCCCTCAGCCGACTTGGCAGTATTAACCAGTGGGTATCCTTCTGATCTGTGGTTACACTCTTTGCAAAACCAAGCTTCCAGCTGGTGAGCCACAGGTAGCCATAAATTAATCTCCCTTAAATATGCCTCCTTTGGAACCTGACCGTGCCCTTTGTCCAGGCTGCGCCCTACCGTCTCCGCTTCAGGGCCCCCTTTGCTCCTCCACCAGCGGAACAATCCACTAGGGGGCACTCACGCTCCTCCCTGAAGCCTTACTTGTCCACCTTTCCCATCTCCTGAGACAAACCAAGTGTTTTCATTGCCACAACCCCCAACCCTCAAATACTCTTAAGATTTGCTCAGAGTGAAGCTCCGGGGGCAGAAATCAGGGTCCCCAGAGGAGAACCTCACAATGGAGGACATAGCAGAATGGACTGGGGACCTGGAACCAACCCCAGGTCCAAGGCATTGGAGAGGGGATGGTGCCAGGGACAGTGGGCAAGGTAGGCTGGACACTCAGGGCCCAGATGCCCCAGCCCCACGAGTGGGCCCTGGGGAAAATGACTGTGAGCCTGTGTCCCTACAGGCCCTGTCACTTAGGATCTGTGCAAGTGGGCCTTGGCGGGGCTTCTGTGGAACATTCCAGACTAGGCCTCCTGGGTATTTCAAGAAACTTCTTACCTGGAAAAAGCGGGAGAGGTGTGTCATTCGCTGACATGGCCCAGGATCTCTCTGGGCCTGAGGGAGCAGGTGGTGTTCAGGCTTTACCCCCAACTCCAGATTAGGCCCCAAGACGTTAGGAGAGCTTAGGTCTTGCCTGGCCTGGCTCTGCAGGACACCACTGCTGGGCTGTCCATGGGGAACTCGACCTCCCCACCCCTTGACTGCAGTGCAGGAATGAGACCCCGAAGTCCCCTCAGACTTGGACAGTGAGGGAGCACAGGAGAGTTCGGGCAGGGGGATTGAGGAGAGACCGTCATTTCTGGAGGTAGGAGTGGTTAGGTGATGGGCACACACGTGGGACACAGCAGCGGCCGCTGAATCACTAACCGAGAGGTTTTCCTCTGGAGAATTCAGCCTTCTCCCTGCAAACGTTTGCTCACCGCCCCCCTCAGCGCTGCTAGCTGAGGTGCCTCATTCCTGTTCAACAAGCCAAACCTACATCAGCTCTTTGTCCCCATCACACCTGGGCAGCTCACTGTGCCCAGCTGTCCCGACCTCCAGGGTCCTCAGAGCAGTCATTGCATCTCTGTCCCCACCAGTCTGGAGGCCACGGGACCAGGCTCTCTGTCCTGATTATCAATCATCTGCCAGGAGGGGGCAGCTGCTGCACAAAGGAGAAGATGCAGGAACAATTGTTAGCTGCTCTGCTTGCCAGCAAGTCCACCCATGGGAGGGGAACCAGGAAAATGACAGAACTTCCTGCTCATTTCAACTTGGATAGTGTTGCCCTGGGAAATCCATAGAGGAATACACGGGTATTTTCTTATTTTCTAGTCACAGGCTTTTGAGTTTGGAATGACAAATTTTCCTTGGATGTCGCTGTCAACCTCAATCCCACCCATCTGGGGCACCGACTGCAAATTCCACACCCTAGTGCAGGTTTGGTATTGGGGCCAAGACACTGGCAGCCCGGCCCAGGGGAGCCTCTGTGACAGCTGCTGCAGAGATGTACTCTGTTCCTCCCAGGGTGTCAGCACCCAGCTCCATGGTCCCTGCCCCTCTCCCTGCAGGCCCCCACCCCTCAGGGACACCTGCCCCACGGACATCGTGTGCATCATTCCCACACTGCTGCTGCCTGTCTGGAGCTGTCCAGGATCCTGTAGGTTCCTTGAGGCATAGGGGTGTGTGTGTGAGTGTGTGAGTGTGTGTGTGTGTGTGTGTGTGTGTGTGTGTGTGTGTGTGTGTGTGATAAGCCCCCGCACACATGCAAAATCTGAGGTTGAGGGAATTTGAGATTCATTCAATAAATACTTATTTTACATTCAAGGATTCACTGTTAGGACTCCATATCAAATAAGCGACAGTTTGTGTTGTACTGAATCCCTTTTCTTAATCTTCCTGCCTGCCCAGTGCTAGAGTGACCCATCCACACCCTCTGCCCACCCCTTGCAGCTCCTCCCACTAAAAGGAGTGTGTTTATCTGAGACTTGGCCATAGGAACATACACACCAGGGATCCCCATTTTCTTTCTTTTTTTTAAGATTTTATTTATTTGTCAGAGAGAGAGAGCAAAAGCAGGGGGAGTGGTAGGCAGAGGGAGAGGGAGAAGCAGGCTTCCCACTGAGCAGGGAGCCCAATGTGGGACTCGATCCCAGGGCCCTGGGATCATGACCAGAACCAAAGGCAGACGCTTAACGACTGAGCCACCCAGGCATCCAAGGGAATCTCCATTCTCAAAAAGCACCCTATGTCATTCTCAAGAACACCAAGAATCTGAGAATCTTTCCCAAAACATATATAATTGTAACATATATAAAATATATAATATAAAAAATATATAAATATATATAAAATATATAATCTGTATAATTCCAGATTCCACCAGGAGGACAGATCATTGCCACATTGTAGTTTACAGGAGATTTGCAAATCAGTCCTCCTTATCCTAATCTACAAAGCTAAAGCAAAGCAAACTAAGTGTCCATCCATGGATGAATGGAAAAAGAAAATGTGGTATGTATGTAAAATGGAATGTTATTCAGCTATGTTTTTTATTTTTTTAAAAGATTTGAGAGAGAGAGCACAAGCAGGGAGAGTGGCAGGCAGAGACAGAAATAGACTTCCCACTGAGCAGGGAGCCAGATGCGGGGCTCGATCCCAGGACCCTGGGATCATGACTCCAGCCCAAGGCAGCCTCTTAACTGACTGAGCCACCCAGGTGCCCTGGAATGTTATTCAGCTCTTAAAAAGAAGGAAATTGGGGGGCACCTGGGTGACTCAGTTGGTTTGGCGCCCGACTCTTGATTTTGGCTCAGGTTGTGATCTCGGGGTCTTGAAATGGAGCCTCGCATCGGGCTCTGTGCTCGGCTCAGAATGGGCTGGAGATTCTCTTTCTGCTCTCCCTGTGTCCCTCCCCTTGCTCACGCACTCTCTCTAAATAAATAAACAAATAAAATCTTTTTTTTTTAAGAAGGAAATCTTGTGACACCATGGATAGACCCCCAGAACAATATGCTAAATTAAATAAGTCAGAGAAAGACAAATACCATATGATCTTACTTATATGTGGATCACAAAAACAAAATAAAAAAAAACAAGTTCACAGATACAGAGAACAGACTGGTGGTTGCCAGAAGCAGAATGGGATGGGACTCCTAACAAAGGGTGAAGGTGTTCAAAAGGTCCACACGTCCAGTTATAATATAAACAAGTCCTGGGGAATGTAACACACAGCATGGGGACTAATAGTTAACAACCCAGTATTGCATATTTGAAAGTTGCTAAGAGAGTAGATCTTAACAGTTCTTATCACAAGAAAAATAAATTTTGTAACATGTGTGGGAACAGATGTTAACTAGGCTTGCTGTGGTCACTTCACAATATATACAAACATCGAATAGTTCTGTTGTACCGGAAACTAATATAACGTTGTGGGTCGATTATATCACGATTAAAATAAGGAAACCAAAGTTCTCAAGTAATTATGTAATCAGTTATGTAGAGGTACCCAGAATCCTAGAGACAAAAAGATCACTTGTGGCTCTGAGCTCCCCTCAAAATATAGCAGAAAAGGATCATAGTTGAAGCTACAATTCTCCATCCTCCCACACTGGGGACTTCAGACAAGTGTGTGTCACAGACTGTTATTCTTTTGGCACAGCTGGATCAACAGCTCACATACGGACTGAGTCCATAAAGCTGTTGGAACACGCAGGGCAGATAATCCCAGCAGGGCTGGCACGGTGTCTAAAGAGCTACACAGGGGGCACCTGGGTGGCTCAGTTGGTTAAGCGACTGCCTTCAGCTCAGGTCATGATCCTGGAGTCCCGGGATCGAGTCCCACGTCGGGCTCCCTGCTCAGCGGGGAGTCTGCTTCTCCTTCTGACCCTCCCCCCCATGTACTCTCTCTTTCTCTCAATCTCGCTCTCTCAAATAAATAAATAAATAAATAAATAAGTAAATCTTAAAAAAAAAAAAAAAAAGAGCTACAGGGAAGGTTTGAGTCTTCATGACCCCACCACACAATTGCAAGAAAGGGGATCTACCCCCAGGAACGAAAGGACAGGGGGACCCAGCCTCCCTACTCACACCCACCTCCCCTCAAACCTGGAGCAGCCAGTGTCCCTGAAGCCCGGGGGCCCATCATGCAGGGCTTTGGGGGGCCACATGAGGGACCCTGTGTCTTTTTTGAAGTGCAGTCGGACGTGTCTAAAGGGACTATTTATTCGTTGTTTGACGGATCTGTTTTCCAGAAGCGACATGATCTATTTACATGACGTTATTCTGGTGGCATCTCTCTGCTTGCCGCCCAGAGAAGGCCCCAGAGAGAGGAGACAGTGGAAGCTGTCATAGGCAGAAGAGTGACCCCACCGGATGTCCACACCCTGCTCCCCAGAGCCTGTGAATACGTGACTGGACAAGGCAACGGGGAATTAAGGTTGTTACTAGGCTGGCCTTTAAATGGGGAGATTGTCTTGGACGATCCCTGTGGCTCTGTGTCAGGCTTCTGAGCTACAAAACTCTAGGATTAACAAATTGTGTTGTGTGAAGCCACTGCGGTTGTGGTAGTTTGTCACAGCAACAGTAGGAACCTCACGCCCTGCAAGGTTGGTTAGACCCGCCAGGTTCACGTAGGAAATGACAATTTGGACTCGTGGTCGCGGTGGAGGAGAAAGTGGTAGAGAAACAGGAGAAATGTCGGGGCAGGTGGGGGACCTGGAGAGCTTTGGGTGACAGATTCCACGTGGGGCAGGGGGGGACCAAAGATTCAATAGTGACTCTCATGATTCTTGCGGCAGCACCCACGTGGCGGGAAAGACCTTTAATAGAAGGAGACGTGTGCAGGCTGAGCCTGTGTGAAGACCGGAAGTGAATGCTGGAATTATGTGTGCAGTTAAGGCGCTGAGGGGGGCGCAGGGACGGGTTCGGCTTGGTCCCAGCTTGTGCGAGAGGCCAGAGAGGAGAGGTGGGGGCAGTCCATCCAGCAGGACACGATCCTCACGGTGTCCACCAGGGCCTGGAGGTCCTCAGCCTCGGTGGGGGTGGATGTGGGTGGGCGGTGGGACAGCTGACAGAACACAGACTGGAGCGAGGTCCCACCTGGAGCCGCACCTCCAGGTCCCACAGCCCGCGGTGCTGCTTGCTGGCAGCCTGCTGGTGGCCAGCATGGCCCGGATGTTGCAGCTGAAGATTCAGAGCGTCACTGGCCGGGTCCCTATTCACCACCTGCATCGTTTCTTCTTCCCTGTGTTCTATGTTCAATGGAAATGACTCCATGTCTGTACTTACAGGCTGAGTAGAATGAAAGGGATCCAAACCACATTTTGTCCTCTCTTCCTTTCCTCATGGAGCTTGAAGATACTATAAAGAAGGAAGGAAGGAAGGAAGGAAGGAAGGAAGAAAGGAAGGAAGGAAGGAAGGAAGGAAGGAAGGAAGAGAGAGAAAGAGAGAGAGAGAAAGAAAGAAAGAAAGAAAAAGAAAAAGAAAAAGAAAAAAACAAATCAAAATCCACCATCACCAGGGTACTGGCAGAAGCAAACACCCCTTCAGTCGAAAGACTCATCCCCCCTTCTCCCCTCAGACACCATGTGTCCTCACAGGAGAAGGAACAAGAGCGTGAACCGCTGACATCTGTTCGGGGTGACATCAGGTGTCTCTGGTGACCAGCAAACCAGAAAAACTTGTTGGGCTCACATTTCTAACACAACAGACTTCCAGGGCACCTACCTGACTCTGTGAGTCCACATGTACGACGTGCTTTCAGATATATGGCTTGGGTCATACCCAGAGAGTCTGGAAGAATCATCTGGACAAAAGGGTCACCTTGGCAACGGACCATCAGCTGCCTGTTTTCCAACGATGACACTCAACTTGTCGCTTCTGAAAACAAAGTTTAAAGGTTTGAATTTTCCTGTCAACTAATTCATTTGAACACTGTAAGGGTGTATGAATTGTCCTGTTTCCCCCGCCACAGGTGACTATGAGGAACATCCGCTGAACTGCTTCACCCAGAACTCTCATTTTTGATCAAAATTATCGTTACTCCTGTAGTTTCTTACAGCCCCTGCTATCTTTGAAAGGATCCCCACTGACGGGTTTCTGATAGTCCCACACTCAGAACTCCCGGGACAAAGTTTACGGACCACAGAATGTTGGAAAGGCATCCATCAAGCCCCACGTGTCCCCGCACACACTTGAAAAGTACATCAAGTGGGACACCTGGTGGCTCAGTCAGTTAAGTGTTTGACTCTTGATTTAGGTTCAGGTCATGATCTCACGGTCATGGGATCCAGCCCCACATCAGGTTCCACACACAGTGGGAAGTCTGCTTTGGATTCTCTCTCTCTCCATCTGCCCCTTCACACCGCACCTCACTAGCTTGTGTGAGCCCTCTCTCTAAAATAAACTAAAAAATAGGGGCGCCTGGGTGGCTCAGTCGGTTAAGCGTCTGCCTTCGGCTCAGGTCATGATGCCAGGGTCCTGGGATCGAGCCCCGCATCGGGTTCCTTGCCCAGCAGGGAGCCTGCTTCTCCCTCTCCCACTCCCCCTGCTTGTGTTCCCTCTCACTGTCTCTCTCTGTCAAACAAATAAGTAAAAATCTTAAAAAAAAATAAAAAAATAAAAAAATAAAAAAAATAAAATAAAAAATAAAATAAAACAAAACAAAATAAGATAAGATAAAATAAAATAAAATAAAAGGAAGAAAAGTACGTCCAGAATGCAACCCTCACTGCTCTTTCTGAAGTTTCTGGCTTTTTCAACACAAAAGGGATAGTGGTTCCAGTTTGTGATCTGGGAAACTGAGTTAGTATTTTAGGGGAAAACACTGGGGGTAAAAATAACCCGAGAGCTTCCTTTTGGACATAAAATATTGAAATGCCTATTAGACAGCTAAGCTCTTCTGGACACTTGTTCTGTGGGGTCCTCACTAGCCCTGCCCCTAAAGATGGACTAATTTCTTTCAGTCTCCCCCACTTGTTATTTCCCCAGTCTTTTGGTTCATCTTAAATACCATCTCCTCACTTGTCTTAATATTTTCCAAATTCTTGAACCTTTACAAGCCCCTAAGGGATTCCCTTATAACCGCACAGCCCCTGTTATGCACTTTCTTCTAATCCTCATCAACCATATTATAATTACTTGTTTTCAATGTTACTGAAAAAATTATTCTGACACTCATTAAGGATGGTCAGGCACACTTTATTGAGGCAGACTACTACAGTGGGTGTGCAGTGGAGGAGACAGATTGGACCCCACGCCAAATCAACAAGAAGAGCGGGGATTTATAGCCAAGAGGCAGGGTGGGGCGGTCAGTGGATGGAAAGTTACCAGGAGGGTAGAGTAATTCTTGCTAAGCTCACTAAGGGCTTTCACTGTAGACAGGCTGGAGTGATCACATACTACCTAGGGAATGCTGGGACGTGAGGAATTTGGTCAGATATCGAGGGTGGGGGCTTCTGGCTCAGCTGATTAGTAGGTTTCTTCTCAAACTGGACCTGAAGCATATGGTCAGGCCTAGTCAAGGAGAAGGCTCAGAGAACCTGATTAAAGCCTGGCTAGGAGACAATCTTTGCTGTGAGTTTCCTTCTACCTTGCACCATTCACCACTAAACCATGGTGTTCACAGAGACAGAGAGAGAGAGAAACAAAGAAAGGATCAATTGAGGGGCACCTGGATGGTGCAGTTGGTAAAGCACCCGACTTTTGGTTTTGGCTCAGGTTGCGATCTCAGGGTTGTGAGATCGAGCCCTGTGTTGGGCTCCCCGCTCAACATGCAGTCTGCTGGAGGTTCTCTCTCCCTCTGTCCCTCCCTCCCTCTCTCTCTCTCATATAAATAAATCTTTAAAAAAAAAAGAGAAAAGACTCAATTGATATATTGATAAAAATCTTTAAGGACTTATTAGGGAGATATAAGAGAGATTGTAAACTTTGTTGGAGATTACCACAAAAGCTAGGCCAATATATTTTCAATTATGGATTAATGAACAATCATCTAGATAAATGTAAATCACCAAAACTGACCTCAGAAAAAGATGGATAATATGAGTAGAGCAATAACCATTAAAGAAATTAAAATGAGAGCCACTAATTACCCTCCACCAAAAAAAGAGTACCAGGCCCCAATGGTCTTATGGATGAACTTTAACAAATCTTCAAATTAAAGATAATTCTCAACAAACTCCTCCAGAGAATAAAAAGTGGTAAAAGGAGATCACTTCCTAACTAGTTTATGAGGCTAGAAAACCAGGCAAGAACATTACAGACCAATTTCACTTACAAATACACATACAAAATCAAAGGAAACATTAGGAAACCAAATGCAGAATTAATAATGTCAAAAAAGCAAATAGAGACGTTATGACCAAGTAGGATTTCTATCAGGAATGCAAGTGTGTTTTTAAAAATAAGCAGGGGCATCCGACTCTTGATTTCGGCTCAGGCCATGATCTCAGGGTCGTGAGATCGAGCCCCATGTCAGGCTCCAAACTGGGTGTGAAGCCTCCTTCGGATTCTCTCTCTCCCTCTGCCCCTTCCTGCCCCCTTGCGTTCACTCTCTCTCTCTCTCTGAAAAAAAAAAAAAAAAGGAATGCAAATGTGTTTCAATATCAGAAAGTAACTCTCCATGACAACAGACTAAAGAAGAAAAATACTTATCTCAATAGATTTAGTAAAATTATTTGATAAAATTCAACCCTAATTCTAAAAAAAAAAAAATCCTTTGACACTGGGAGGAAACTAGGAAAGGAACACATTCACATCCTTCTACAGCTGCCTGAAGAGTAAAGTAATTCATATATGTCACTGATGTATGTCAGCGCCCATTAGGCACTAAACAAATGTGCGCAACTCCCCAAGCACTTCTCTCTCACACATCCCATCTTTGCTCCCTGATTTATGGTTGATTTCCTCAGTTGTAGCTTCCAGGTCATTTGGTTGATTTTTCAGCAGTGACATTCCAGTTATTCAGCAATTACACTCAATTTTTTGTGTGTTTATTTGTTTTTTTTAATTTCTAGGAAGTCTTTCTTCTTCTGCACCCTTTCCGTGGGAGTTCATCAGCCATCTCCTTGAATCCCTGATGGTCAGAAGGATGTTGAGAAGTTTCCTTCTGAACTTGTACACGATGTTTCTAGCAGTCCTGGGTTCCATTTGTACATTGGGCGATTGCTCCCCAACCTCCCTCCATGGCTCTCCTCAGATGTGTGTGCACTGGCCACCAGTTTTCTCCTTCATTGCCCTGTTTTCCTATTTCCTTATGGATTTTTTCTCAAATGTGTTATATGTTTTGGTTGTAAAGTACATATTTACTAGGACTCAGTTGATTATCCTGGGCGTATGGTAAAGGTTTGCTCTGTATTTGTATGAGTCCGTACTGGAGCCTTTTCCTCTTAAATTGACAGCAAAAACTTTAAAACTTTTTCTTGTTTTCATATTGCATATTGGAGATTTTTTTTAAGATTTTATTTATTTCACAGACACAGTGAGAGAGGGAACACAAGCAGGGGGAGTGGGAGAGGGAGAAGCAGGCTTCCCGCCGAGCAGGGAGCCCGATGCGGGGCTCGATCCCAGGAGCGTGGGAACATAACCTGAGCCGAAGGCAGATGCTTAATGACTGAGCCACCCAGGCGCCCCTGCATATTGGAGATATTAAAAATAATTGCTTATAGCATCTGCGGTGGGTATGGAGAGCAAAAATTAAAACAACAACAACAACAAAAAACACCTTACTATGTGTCTTCACTCAGCTTAAGGAAGAAGAGAACCAGCACCCCACAGCCCTGTGTGTTCCCGGCCTGCCCCACTCCCATCCCACCCCACCCCCAGCTGCATTATACAAGATATTCCCCTACCCTTATAGTTCTTCTTTTTTAACCACACATGGCTACTCGCATTTCTTTCTTCCTGACTCAGTCTGGTCCATTTTTGTAGGTAATCACTGAACAAATTATTCAGATTTCACAACCAGAATGTTCATGATCTCCTTCAAGGCCATCTTCCTTTTTCCTTTTTCTACTCCTAACATGCTTCTTGTGCCTTGTTTCATTTTTTCCGATCACATGGTCAGAAATTTATTTTGAAAGAGCCACCTCTAGACTTTTGTGTTTCTTGCTCATCTCTTATGTTCTTTCTCCTTTGAGTTTGTTCCTCTTCTTACTTCTACAAGTGGATAATTCACTCATAAACAACCATTCTTTCATTCTTTTCTATGTTAAGCATCTTAGCGTTTTAAATTTGCCCACGAGCTGGCCTCCGTTTCATCCTGTGTGTTCTACAGAAAGTTTTGTTTTGTTTTGTTTAAAATAGGCTCCATGGCCGGTGTGGAGCCCAATGAAGGGCTGAACTCACGACCCCAAGATCAAGACCTCAGCTGGGATCAAGAGTCGCTTAACCAAATGAGCCACCGAGGCGCCCCTATGGAAAGTATTTTTACTGTTAATTATACATATTTTGAAATTGCCATTATCGTGATGGTTCCCATGAAGATGGTGATTTTCACTTCATAACACAGTATTCATAGAGCATTCCATCTATGAGTATTTACTGAAATTTGCTCTTCGGTCTAGTATGTGGCAAATATTCATAAAATTGCCATATGTGCTTGAAAAAATGTATTGTAACATTTTATAGAGAGAGAGGCCAGCTTCTTGCACTGCTCCAATATTCTATAATCCTTCCTGATTAGCTTGCTCTCTAATTACTGTGAGACATATGCTCAAATCTACCAAAAGAGTAATGAGTAGCCATATGAACCCACAAATCGACTTAGTATTTTGGAACCTAGATCAACTGGTAGGAGAGATTTTTAAACATTCAGACGCCATTTTAATCTTACCCCTACTCCTACAGAAAAGAGAAAGAGAGAACATATCCACAGCTCTTACTGTGGGGCTAGAAAAACCTTGACCCCCAAACCAGAAACAATACAGAAATGAAAAGAACAGGCCAAAGTCAGCATTACAAACATCCTACAGGAATAGGAGACACAATGCTGCAATGAATGAAAGAGATAATGAACATGAAATGTAGGGTTTATTCCAGGAATATAGTTAGTTTAACAGTAGAAAATCAGTGTAATTCACAGCATTAATGGTTTAAAGGAGGAAAGCCATGTGATTTTTTTCGACAGATGCATTTAAAAAAACAACCTCTACTTAAAATTCAGCCTCAGGATAAAATTCTCCCGGCAACTACTATCCTCCCATACACAATCCCCAGGGCCTAGAGGAAAGGGGGTCCTAGAGGACATGAGCTGGGAGAAGGAATACGGCCCCCAAAACTCAGATTCGAGGGGACCCACATTGGAGTATGGGCGCTGGTGAAACTCCGAAGACTCATACCGACGTCCCCCTTGGGTCAGGAGAGACCCCGTGGAGGGAGAAAGGGTGTGAGAGGAACAACCCTCCCAGGTGAACCCCGGAGGTCTCTGGGGCTGACCTGGAAATGTGGAGCCTGCCTGTGTCAAGCTACACGCTCAGTGTGGAGTCTACTTCTCCCTCTCCCTCTGCCCCTTCCACCACTGATACTCTCTCTCACATATAAATAAAATCTTCAAAAAAAAAATGCCCATACCCCCAAAGTGATGCACACATTCAGTGCAATCCACATTAAACTCCTAATGGCATTTTGGGCAGGAGGTAGAAAAATTCATCCTTCAATTCATAGGGTATCTCAACAGACCCCAAGGAGCCAGAACAATCTAGAAAGAGTACAAGTGGGAGGCTTGGACATCCCGATTTCAAAACATATTACCGAGCTTCAAGAAACCAAAGAGTGAGGTCCTGGATTAGACACAGAGACATACACATAGACCAGATGAACAGAACAGAGAGTCCCCAAATTTCAGAGCCTTCCACACGTGGCCAAACGATTTTCCCCAGGGTTCCAATCCCACTCGAATGAGAAAGGACAGTCTCTTCAATGAAAAGCCTTGGGAAGGGCGCCTGGGTGGCTCAGATGGTTAAGCGTCTGCCTTCGGCTCAGGTCATGACCCCAGAGTCCTGGGATCGAGTGCCGCATCGCTTCTCCCTCTGCCTCTCTCTCTCTCTCTCTCTCTCTCTCTCTGACTCTCATGAATAAATAAGTAAAACATTTTAGAAAAGCCTTGGGAAGACAGGATATCCACATACAAGGAAGGAAAACGGACCCTTCCTTTCTACCATACACAAAAAGTAACGGAAAATAGATAACGCATCTCAACAGAGAACCTAAGACCGTGAAGCTGAGAGAGGAAAAGCGGAGAAAAGCTTCATGACGTTGGATTTGGCACTGATGTCTAGGACGTGACGCCAAAAGCACAGGCAACAAAAGCCACCTAGAAAACCGGGGCCATTTGAAGCTTACAGACTGTTGGCCCTCAGGAGAAACAATCAACGTGGGGAAAAGGGAACCTACACAACGGGGAAAAAGACTTGCAATTCCTATGTCTGTTAAGGGATTCAAATCGAGAAGATGTAAAAAACTCTACAATTCACAACAACAAGGAAAACAAACTACCCAAGTAAACAACGGGCAAGACACTTGAAGAGACATTTCTCCGAAGCTATGCAATGGCCACCAAGCTTCTGAGAATAGGCTCAGCACCAGTAATCATTAGAGAAAACAAATCAAAGAACAAAGACATAGCATGTCACACCCTTAGGACGGCCCCTATCAACAACAGTAACCAAAAGAACCCAAAACCCAAACACCGTCAAACAACCTGTGTGGGGGAGGATCTGGAGGCATTGGAACCCCGGGCCGGTGTCGGTGAAAATGTGAAATGGCCCATCTGCCGTGGAACACGGCGCAGAGTTTCCTCCAAAGGAAGAAATAGACTTACCACGTGATGGGGCCATCTCACTCCTGATTGTACATCCATAAGAATTGGAAGCAACGTTCCCAAGGATACTTGCACATCCCCGTTCGTTGCAGTGGTCTTCTCCAGAGCCAAGCGCCCCGCGTGTCCACACCCAGAGAGGAATGGAGAAAGAAGCTGAGGCATCGACATACAGCGGAATGTTCTTCAGTCTTAGCAAAGAAGGATATTCTGGACGTTCTGCCAAGTGAAATGAGCAAGTCACAGAAAGACAAATACCCTATGCTTCTCCTAGTACGGGGTATGTAAAGTAGTCAAATTTATAGAAACAGAAAGAACTGTGGGACCCAGTGGGGGCAGGGAAGAGGAAACACAGAGCTGTGGGTACACATCTTCAGTCACAAAAGGAATGCCAGAGAGGCGTTGTATGGCAGGGAGAAGAGGTAGAGCCCTGCTGTAGGATACACTGGTGCATGGCTAACGGTAATAGTCCATGTAACGTTATTGTTTCTAACCTACTATACTTTTTCACAGATTTCTTTAAGAGAAAAATTGGGGTGAAGAATCTGGGGCCTTTGAAACGTTCTTGCCTTCAACGAGGAAGTTCTGGGTGTGACAAATACAAAGAGTTGGTGGGTGAGGTTCATTTCCTGTTCCCAGTCAGGCCGTTTCACCCCAGATGGTGGCTGGTGGGGTCTCTGAGCCCCTCAAGAGCCCACGGTGGGGGAGAGGCTCAAAGCTCCAGGGATTATCGGGAGATAATCGGGAGAAGGGCC